ATTTTTAGCAAGGCTATTTTTGTAATGCCGTTAAGGTATTTCACAAATTTGCTAAGATAAATCAGCGGCAGAAATGGGAAGCCGGAATGACCCTCTTCAATAAAATTAGATGTTCCAGAGAAAGATCAAGGTTTGCTGTAAGATCTGTTGACTATGAAGAGCTACTTGCTTGTCTGATGCTTTCCCGTGCACACTTCAACATGGACGTTTTCCTAGGATTAAGAAAATAAGCCCCATAGAGCCGGTTTGTCTGGCACAAAGCTAGATTCCAGAAATGAGTTAAGCTGTCTACGATAAATCTTTCTAATAGTTATGCTATCACTTCAATGAAGTAAATTCGTGTACAAGTTAACTTCACATGAGTAAACGAATGAATATCTTTATAAAGTACCTAAGAGCAATGAGAAACATTAAGCGATGCTGTTAAAGAACTCGAACTGAGATCATTGGCAAATATCTCAAAAGTAACATATGCGTATATACAAACCCGCGAGATAAAGACTAATAATCGATTGCTAGGAAAAATTGCTGGTCCTTTAAGGCTTGATACGAAAGCAATTTCACATGGCGTTATCCGATAGAACAGCTGGTCCATTGTCAGTAGATCGATCTTAACTGTCGTAAAGGTTTTTCTTCCTCAACTTTCAGCTTGGTCATGAATCCATTTCCTAGAAATGATATTAGCAAGTAAGCTAAAACGGGAATAAAAGATATTAGTGAACATACGAATTTATCTATTTTTGTTTCAGCACAAGCAAGATGTGACTTAGGAAACTCATAAAAATAGATAAGACAAAAAACATCGACTTATTTAGCACAAGTCTCAGAAAACTTGAAACTAACATTCTGAAATGCTTGTGGTACTTGCCGGTGCCGTTAAAATTTTAGTCAATGAGGTACTTCTACCTATGGGTTAAATTGTGGCCCAAACTGGATTTCGTTCACGTCAGGTACCGTAAGAATAAGGGAAAATACGTACCTATACTGGTATAGCTGTTGCATGTGGCTTTCGTAACTTTCCCATCTGTGCCAGGCATTAGTCGCTCGGTGCTTCGTAAATGTTTCCTGTCCACAAATTTCGTTTTTGCCGCAAACCAACGTAGACCATATAAGGTGCGTAATTGATTACGGTATCTATAAATTGGTAGTTGACTTTGATACTGGAACTAAGCTGATGTTTTGGGACATGCCTTGTAGAGTATTTTACGTAAAAGACGAAAGGCGATGATGTG